AATATAATCGTTCAAATAGCATTACAATTATTTTATTTACTTTAAACCACGCTGCCAGCGACTGGCATTTGCACAAAGAAGGAACATAAGAAAAAAAAATTAAACATTTAGTTTGGAAAAAGGAACTTCCCCTAACACCAAAATGAATTGTGTTAAAGTTAAAGAGAAATTCGAGTTATAGAAGTTCGAGTTATGGAAGCAGATTTGCATCTAATTTGCTCTCTAAAACCCTGTTGTATCCTTTTTAGTTCGAGTTATAGAAAATTTGAGTTATAAAAGTTCGAGTTATGGAACTTTGACTGTATTCCATAAAGGATAATTATCACATATGTATAAAGTGAATGAATATATTAATTCTGTAGTTATTAATTAAAGCGGTTGTGCTTCTTTATATCTTTGCAATGAATAAGAAAAATATGCATTTTTATCATAAAATTTAAATAAAATTAACTTCTAGTATTAGATACTAACAACAAATATGTGGTTGCAAAATTATGTTCCCACTAGAACAGTGCAAAGAAGAAGGACGGAAATATTTGTGGCTCAGCAATCAAAAGATACCAAAATTTTGCGATGTAAAGGAATCTAGAGGTGCAACTATAAATTTATATATTTTTTCTTTCATATAGCAAGTTAAGTAAATAGAGAAAAAGTTAACTAGAAATTATTTTGACCTCAAAGAACGCTAACTGTCACGCTGGTTTCACCGCAATTAACAAATTTTCACATAGAAAGAATAATATTAATAAAAATTATATTTCATTATTATGATATATGCAAACGGTAGATTCTGTAAAGAGAATGAAGAGTCGGCCACACATGTGCTGTTAGAATGTCCTGCGCTAATGCACAAACGGAATAGACTCCTGGAAATGTACACCCTTACAGAAGAGGTAATAAAACTCTGTAAAGTAGGTTTTACACTACTTTTTATTGATGCAACAGGGCTTAGAGACCTACTCTAAATCCAGAAGGGGGCACAATAGTCCCGACGGTCCTAGTGCCACATCCCCTAATAATAATCATATTATATAGCGGATAGTACAGTATGAAATATTAGATAGAAAAACAAAAACAAATTCTGTTGTTGAACAGAATTGAACAGAAAATGAATTTTTCTTTAAAAAGTTGCTGACGTATAATTATTATGTTATTTAAGTTAACATAATAAATATAATAAATACTTATTTCATTTTAAGTAATGTTTTTTTTTTATTTATTATTAATATTATTAAAAATATTTCTTGAATTATCTTTTATTTTTTAATATCGTTTTATTCACGAATGTGGCAACTTAACATAAGAAAAATGTAATGATTTACTTAATCAATATGCGTGCGCAATTAATGCAAAACAGAATGTTCTTTTGAACTTTATTCTAAAATATTAGTAATTTTATGCGAATATTGATAACTATATTTTTTACAATCAATTCTTTAATGGAAAAAAAAACTAATCAATACTTCAGAGGAATCTCGACACATTAATTTAAAAAAAAGTAACTCATACGATACGTTGAATTCTCAGCTTAATTTTAATCAACCTGTTGTTTTTGTTGTTTTGTACGGCGTAGTAAAGTTTTATGCAAGTTACTTTATAAACTCAAACTTATAGGGAATTGGTTTAATTATATTAGAAATCACTTTACATCGATTTAATATTAATGCATAAACAATATAAATTTATTTTCTTATAAACTTACCAATAATATTTTATTAAATTATTAAACGAAACTAAACAAAATTTAATGTATTTATTACACCCACTCAACAAAAAACCTTTACTGTATGAAAACTCAAGTTTATGACGAGAACCTTTAAGGGTGTTGCCACATTTCTGTTGCTGTAGTTATTTTTAGATACTTATATTCTCTCGATTCTAGAAAGCTCACTAACTTTGAAAAAGCTTCCCTAAATTAATTGCTTCTCATATAATCACGCAAAGAAAGTGAGTGAAATAACTTTTTACGTCCTTCAACCCTAACCTAGGTCTAAGACTTTTTGGTAGTTGATTTTTATGAGCTCTCCTTACTTTTATTTTTATTGTTATTCTCTTTCATGAATAAAGTGAAATAAAAATCCTGTTGCACAATGTTATGAATGGCAAAATGCTTTCTAGCGCATACATTCCTTTCTCTTCCTCACCACCACTTTTTTGTGCGAAATGAGTTTTTACGTAACACCTGTTACATCCTTCTAGTTGACTTGACTTCCAATGGCAAGAAAGCATTTCGGTGTAATCGTAAAATTATTTTTTGGCCACTGGTAATAAAATTTAATCATATTTGGTTCTAATGTCAGGTTAATATATTCAATGTCAGATATATGTATATACAATTGAATTTATATTGCGCTATAATTTTGGAAAATTTTTTAAATATTTTCATTACTGAAAATCATTATCATTATCATCATTAAAGTCATAATCATTAACACATAATTAAATAGTATAAAATTTATTAATTGAACAACTAATGAAATTATTATAGTAAGCATGTGATTGTTAGTTCCACATGCCATACAGTTATACAGCTGTACCATACCGTTTAACATTATATGTCCAGATTGGTTTAAGTTTAAAGAAAATCGAATATTTAGAAACTTCACTAGTTTGATTTGGATATTTTTGATTTATGTGCTTACGTTATCGTTTTCTTCTATTTTAGTGAATGTCTAAATATCAGCTTGGAGTATTAGACCGCTGTTTAGTATAATAGAGACTGGTTTACTGGTAAACTAATTTTAAGGGTGAAAATGACTTGGGGACATTTTTACCCACTGATTTTGATATGCCATTGGGTTAACCATTTTTTATCAAAAGTAAGTGATTGTTTTAAAGCTTTTAAAAGAACTGCTATGTTATCGGCAAAAATAGATTCAAATAGAAAAATAGACGATAATTAGCAGGAATATCTGATACAACAACATAATATACAACATATAAATGGGAAGCAAAGAAGCTACCTTGTAACGAACATTTGCATTCATAGTTGCATTAGTTAAGGTAAATGATTTGTATCTCACACTAAGGTTCTTGATTGCGAATAGAATTTAGATGATTATTTAGGTGAAGTTTTCAAGTTTTCACTAATCTTTACTAGTTAGTAACTTATTAACAATTTTTTTCGATTACTCATGTCATAATCATTAACTCATAATTAAATAGTTTAAAATTTTTTCTTTGAACGACTAATAGAATTTCTAATGAGTTTTAGTTTGATGATGTCCAATCCGTATTTGGTTAAAATAAAATTAAGCGAAAAGCAATTTTGCAATTAGAACCATATTTCTTTATCATCTGAAAAACTCATTTTGAACATTGTATCGAAAACTTAACCTGAAAGACAAAAATCAATAAAGGATTTGGGATCGAAAGCCCAATATCTAATTGAATTGTCAAAATTTGCTCAGATTAAAAAATTGACTTCTTCACGATAGTCTTTTTGACGTTGATCAAGAGTGTTATATAATTTCAAAAATCATTGCTTTTGTTATTGTTGTAATGTATTTATACCTGTATTACACGTAAATATAAATGTCAAGAAATATCTAATTTCCTAACATTTACTATTTTTAATTTAATTCAATTTTATCTCTAAAGAATTTAAAAATATTGCAAGAAAAAAGTAGCAGTAATTTAAAAAAACACTACATTTTCAAACTTCGAAAATTAACATTTTTTTTATATTCAATGTTTGATTAAATTTAAAGGATATAAAGCATGCCTTTACTCTACTCACAAGAGCAGGGTCGTCCTAAGAATTTGGGCGCCTGTGAATAGCAAATTAATGTTGTTGGGGATACGAGTACTTTCTCTTAAGCTGTTTATGTTGAGTCTTTTCCGAATTAGAGCATCTGGGCACTTTTAGTCTTTGGAAGCTGGGGGGTTTCTGCAGAGTCTCACCCTTCTCACTGAACTATTTATGTATTCCTCAAAAGCTTCGTGATTATTCGATGACTGATCTAAGATTTCCGTACCGCTCTGTGCGGCTAGAGATTATTCTAAGATTAGATAGTACTAAGTAAGATAGCCTGTGAATTTTCGCTCTGTCTCTTATATATTTTTTGACCGGGTCTATTCTAAGGGCTCTTAGCATGTCATATGTGTGAATGCTCCAAGGTACTTTGAAGAATCTTCGAAGAGATTTTGAGCAACTTGCAGCTTCTGAATAGTAGAGTTGGCAGATTTTGCTATATGAGACACACCCATAGAGTAGTGCTGGTAGATCAACTTTCTGTTATTCACGCTAAGGTTATTGTGTTTGAAAAGTGGTTGTAAGCAGTGCAGTGATTTTGTGCAACTATTTCTTTTGACTTGTATGTGCTTGTGACAAGTGAACCGCTTATTAAACGTGAATCCCAGGTATTTGATGCCGTCCTTCCAATTAATCCTAATGTCACCAACTAAAGCTGTTACACCAATGAAAATGTTCTATTGAGGTAACCTATTTACAATATCTTATAGTGATACGACTGGGTCAGATATAAGAATGTGAATTATTTATGATTCTATTTACTAAAGTGTTGAAATTAGTTCCAAATCATTGAATATGTTTTCATACTTGTGGCTTTACGTCTATTTAAATCCTGCCATTGCTGTTTAAGTTTCGTAATTATCGTTCAATAGTCAATTTTGTTATAACAGTTGATCAAATATTTCTGAAAAACATGCCAAGACGTGACTTTCCTCTGGTTTGAGCAGAATATACGCTGAACTGTAACTAAACAGAAATACGTGAGGCTGACGTAATGTTTCACTTTGAAAGAACAGCAAATAAAAGTTTTAATTGACATTTTATTGAATATTCTCACAAAAGAATAAAACTGCTTCCATGGAATTTATTAAAATTCCAAAATGTATAAAGATTTACATCATTTTTGTTATTCACTCAAAATAAACTTCATAATATGTAAAAAAGAAAACAAACAAAATATATTTTGCGTTTCTTTCTAAAATAATATTTATATTATTTATTAAGTTACATATAGAATAAATACAATATAAAAAGTGATATAATTAAATTATGTTTGAGTTCAAGAAAACCTCGTCCCACAGATTCTTGTCACATTTTGATCTGATTAAATATTATTGTAAAATAATATAAAACAGCTTTATAATAATTTTTGGTTTGCTACAATTAATGCTAAATAACTTAACTAAAGAAGTTCAAGACTACAACTAAAATTTACTGCTTAAATTAAAAAATTACAATGCATCTGCCAAATATCAAAAAATTATCATCAATTTAAAATAATTTCCCTTAATAGAGTTTCCTTTATTTCACTTTAATGAGACCAAAATAGCTTCTGTTATTTGTGTCCTTTAAAATTACACTTCGATCGGTGTGGAAGTCTCGTATGTGTATTGTTTCATCTGCGCGTAGATGGATGAGGCCGCTGGTATGGCATGTATGAATTTTAAGTGGGATGTTCGTTGGCACAGTATTTAGACATTGTAAGAATGGTTTATGTCCATGGAATATTACGAAGCCATTTTGATCATGTGTGTTATTGTAACACACCTGAGCATAGATGTAATAAAGACCAGATTCAAGCACTGTCAGAACTCCATTTTCAACCTCGAAATAGCTACTAGACATACTTGGCTCCCCAATATATATATCTCCAGCATATACTTCAATAATTAAAATTAATTATAATGACTTTTTTATATTTCAATTGTACATAATACTTACATGGAACTTTTATTGCTGCTTGTCGACCGGGAACTGTACGCGTTAAATGGAAGTGTGCTGCAGGAGCTGAGTCAATTGAGTTTGACATAAGCGAAGATTTTGCTGAAAAAGATAGAGATTCACCTGAAATTTTTCCAGAAATAAAGCTATATATAATAAAAATTATAGCTTCTGCTCTCAAATACTTAATTAATAATATTAAATTTTGAATTTATTTCTCGATCTGATTTTTTTAATAATGTTTGTTATATATTTCATATTCAGCTATAGGTTACTTTTTGATAAAATATAATTAAACGTTTGTTTAATATTATTTATACTATTCTATATTTCGACTCTCCTTGTGAATCATCATCAGGATTAGGATCTCACATAAATTAATATTAATAAAATCTATATCTAAACGTTACGCTTATGATTTCGTTGTCTATATTGCACTATAGTGATAGCGATGCCGAATTATAGAATATATTAAAAAATATTAAACACACTTTTAATTTTAATTTTAACGAAAACTGATCTATATAGTCATGATACTATTGATAAAATTAATCACAATGTATTTAATCAATTTAAACAAGTCTCAGAACAGTATCTGCATGGATGCTTATTAACTAAAATAATAATTAAAACTGCATATGTCGATGTCTCTAATTTAATGCTTTTTATATTTCAGTATATTGCTCTATTTTGCTATGAAAAGTTCTTCTTACCGAAAAATTGGTTTTCGATGAATTATACAAACTAGCTGAATGGTTGTTTGTATAATTGTCTAACTGTGCTTAGTTGTACGTTAGAATATTAGCAAGACGATATAATATAATTTATCAGAGTAAAAAAGGATCGAAGGAAAAACTTTTTAAGACTGATTGAGATCATGAAAAGTGTATAAGATACATTTTAATGTTCTAACTGCTGAATCTAAATTTCTTCAGTAATGTATTTTTTAAAAAGAATATTAGAAGTGACTTAAAGAAAATGGCATTTATTTTTTAAGCCAGGTCGTAACAATATTGTTAATTACTTTAATGACATATGATTACATATATGTGAATTAATACTTACCAGTTCGATAAACTGGAATTTTACGTCTGCGATTTAAATGGCTCCGTAAATGTGAACGTCGCTTATCTAAGTTTTCAGCTACAAATTTACGTTGACTGTGGTTTTTCAAATTGTCTGAGATCTTTTCTTGAGTCCTAAGATAATATTAAATAGTACGTTAAAGTTAAAATTTTATACTAAATTAATTTTACTTTTTTAGGTTTAACTTAACAATTCTTTTACCTAGAACTTGTTTTGTATGAAGGATAATCGGAATTTAATGATTTCGTCTCAACCGCAGTTGTAGTCTTATTTTGATCTGATTTATTTTCATCTTCATGTATAGTTAAAACTTGAACATTATCAATAGATCGTGACACTCTGAGACAGAAAGGTTGTAATTATCAATAAAATTTTTTACCTAATTAATTGGCACATACCGTTGATGTTTTTTCTTTGAGTCCTTATATTTTTCAAAATCATCGTACAAGTTATCATCATCAGATATTATATCTTCATCATCGCCATCCGAATCATCATAGCTGTTAAACTTTTTTATTAAATCTTCATAATCATCATAGTCTGCATTTGAAAGTTTGTCCTTCTCCCGTTCATTTTCATCCTCATCGTCATCATCATCATCAACATCATCGCCATCTTCAGTCTCCATATCTTCATCAGGGTCATCGATAAGAGCATTTGAATACTAATAATTATTTATAATTAAGATAAGTTACTTAAAAATGATACGAGTATATAGTACTGCAATAAATATTATTTATTTATAGTGCTTAACTACTTTCTTAAAAGTCAGAAATCTTCTAGTGCATACTTTACTGTTCCTATATTGTCCATATAATAAAGAAATAAAAGTTGAGTTTATAAACGTTTCGCTTTTGATTCAAAATGTACTCCATATATTATAAATTAATTATTTATTATAGATTTAATAGATTAAGATGTAATTTATGGATGACTACTACGAACAGTACATACAAGTGGTACATCATTTTTCTTAATTTGTATTTATCTGTATAAATATATCATATAATTATGTAAAAACCAGAATAGTGGAGTAATTGTTCTGTATTTAGTAATAAAACAGCTTTTATAGGTTATGTACTACCATTAAAGTAAATGTCTCTGGTAGAAGCCGGAGATCACACTAACAAACACATTATACATGGTGTGTAATCTATAGATAACAGGTGACGTTTTACACTTACGTAAATAATCTTAAAAGTTGTAGGAACTTAATAGACGAATTAAGCTAATAAATTCTGAAATAATGTTTTACTAAAGAAAGTTTTTGCATGAATTCCATTGAAAGTAAAAAGCAACTGCGCATAATTTAAAGATGACTTCGTTCTTTAAGATTATAACATCTATATAGATTCAATATATCATTGAATTAAAGATATCGCCACTATTTTGTTTTTTTTTTTTGTACATTGATAGCACTGTTTTGTATCAATATGCGAGATTTGAGTGCAATTTTTTACCCAGCTATTTCTGCAATTATTCTATTAAGTAATCTACAATCGAATGACTCAATCGTTGGCAGACAAACTAAACGAATCTGATGGAACCTATTCATAGACGTATCTGTTCCCCAATTAAAAACTACCATATCAAGAAAAGCATTTTGAGTCGATTCCGATCATAGAAAAAAATTCGCTAAATAAGTTGAAGGCCATACTTCAACCAGCCTACGCAAAATGTATGGTAAGTTGGGTTGCACACCAACCCAATAGTTTTATCGCACTGGATGAAATCTATTTTAAAGACGGTAAACTAAAATGATTGATTGTTGATTTTTTTGTGTTTTATTTAATAAGTCCATATAGTTTTTACACAAAATTATTATTTTCATTTAGAAATCAACTTTTTCAGGTTTTACGCAGATTTGCGTTAAAGTCTAAGACCACCTCGCCAAATTTAAAGGAAGTTATTTCAAATACTTTAATAATTTTGCAAACACATTATTTTTTAAATTATGTATACAAAATGTAAGTATAACAACCAAAATTTTATTTTACTTAATTTAAAGTTTATTTGAATCTAAAAACAATTTTTTAATTCTATATGGAGTTGACTTAAACAATTTATGGAAAGTTCTTCAAAGAATAATTTTCTCTTATAATTAGGAAAGCACGAAAAATTGATCAGAAACCAATGGGAAAATCATGATTTGTTCTTAATATGTATAAAATGTTGGATGTTTTTAATTGTGTCGTAATAGAAATAATTTTTTTTTTTTTTTTTTTTTTTAACAATCGAAAAGCATACTGAAATAATCTCCGTTACCCAAATGGAGTAGCCAAGAACTAAAGACTAGTAGCCAAGAAAAACCACACTGAGAGCAGACATGCTAAACCGAGTAACGAAAACCAAGGTTACCACTGTACATATGATCCTTAACTTTACCTCACAAAAAGTTCAGTGGCGACAAATATATGCAAATTCACATCCGGGAAAATTTTTGTGTAGAATGTGGCACCTTCCTGTTAAAACCACATGTATTCCATATACATATCTTCATTTTCACGCCCAAGAAATGGTTTTCATATGGCTATAGTGATTAGGATTGGCCGGCACCTGTTGCACTTCAAGACCATATATCAAACTATAGTGTAATTTGTCTTGGTTGAAATGATTTTTGATAGTTACTTGTGAATTTTTACTTCGATAGTTGCGACAATATTCTGTTAATAAATAAAGAAAAATTTATAAGAAAACTTATCGCAATATTTTTAGTTAAAAAATCCCTATTGGGTGAGAGTTTTGTTTGACAAGAAACAGTGCTGTAATTACCAATAAATGCATAACGAATACTTTACTAGATTGTTGAACCATATCTTCATTATATTTTAAAAATTACTCTATGATGTTCTAGAAATAATCGATGTTGTTAAAAATATAAATATTTTAGAAATCAAACTTTATTAGAACTGAACCAAATCCTTGATTTAATTCATATTATTCTGGCGATAATCTTTGTTAATTATATTTCATATTAAAAAAAAAGTTAGGGGTTTCCACAAAAATAATTAAATAATGTTATCTTAATATTCATTAACATGACATTAAATAAAAAATAAATAAAGATTATATTCAAAAGTTTTTTGAAGTGTCAATTAAATGATGTTCTATAATAATATTTTATTATTATTTATTATTATTATATTTATTATTACTAATATTTTTTCTTATTTATTTTTTAAAACTTTTTATAATCATTACCATATTCATTTTTTGTCTTCCAAATGGTTCGTTATACTAGACAACTGTTCCAAGTAACGACGAATTTTATTTGGCTTCTTTAGTTTTTTGAAAAGTCGTCACTTCGGTAATACCATGACTTTATCTATCATGGTCTATTATGGTCATGGTCATTATCTATTTATTTACATGTAGTGGTACGTATCACTACATTTAAATAGATTCTGTATTAAATTTATATATTATAAATTATTATTTTATATCATTCTATGTTATATTATATTATATTTAATACTATTTTATTTTATTTAGTATAACAACGTGTATGTGGTTGGGATTTTGAATTTAAGATAATAACAAATTAAAAAGAGGTTTTTATATGTAATTAAACATTGAACTGCAGATACATAAAGCAAATAATTATAGATTCGAAAATTTCCAAATGTAGATGTTTTCTGAAATCTGTTATTATTACGTATATACTCGTATAATGCAAGAAAATTTTTAATTTAATGAAATTATAATTAAAAATTTTTAAATTTTGTTAAATGAAATTTTTCTGTGAAACTTTGCCAACTTTAAATTATAAATGGCAACATTTTCGATATTTATTTTTTTTTTCATTGTAAATGCCGCCTTATTAATATATACGGGAATTAAAATTAAATGCGGAACATTTTGATACACCTCAAAAGTATAAGACGCAGTGAACTAAAAGTGCGTATAAAATGGATTAGAATATAGCACAAATTGTTTATGAGTCACCAAAGTAATACCAGAGAGCAGAGTACTACATTCGAAACAAAATATATTTTTTTATTTGATCATTTTTTCTTAATATTGAGATATTTTTAATTTACTATTGCGAAATGTTTCAATTGTCATATATTATCCATCAAAATTATATAAAATTGTTTTTAAAATATTACATTATATAAATTTTGAAAAGTTATTATTAACAATATATGAGATATCAGTATAAAAATATAATATATATTAAGTATTCGGAAACAATGTAAATCAGAGCATTAAAAAGGTATACATACATCTAAACTTAGTTTAAATATAACTATTGAATCCGTTTTTAAGAAATTCCTAGAACACATTAATATTTTCGAAATAATATCTCAGGCTTTTAAAGGTCTTGGACTTTAAACTCTTAATACCAAATAACTAATGAATATTTAAACATGTTTTTTATATTTTGTCCACTACTTAATAATGCAAGTAGTGAGTCAAGAGGGGGGCTACAAGTCTACAGAAGCAGTTTCGACTTAGTTTAGAATTTGAGTTTAATATTTACCTCACCTTATAATATAATAAAAACTAAAAAAATATTTTTTTATAAATTTAAAAATAGAAGCAGCAAATAATTTTGTGCCCTGGCGCCAAAAGAGCTCACGTTGTCACTTAATTATACATACATACATTGTGACCGAAAAGGTTTCGGAAATTCTCATTTAAAATTCGCGCGCTGTATATTTTTCGATATTTTAAGTTTATGTAGTTTGGCAGCACTGTCCTTAATTTCTATGCCAAAAATGAGCGCGATCTGTCAGACAGTTCGTTTACGGCAGCTGTTGAAACCAGTTCACCTCAGTAGTGCGTTGCGAAAAAAAACAATGGAAAAAAATATTGAACAAAGAGTTTGCATCAAATTTTGTTTTTCGAACGAAATTTCGTGTGCAGAATCGTTGCGAATGCTACAAAAGGCTTATGGGGAATCAGTTTTATCGAAAACTCAAGTTTATGAGTGGTACAAAGCCTTTCAGGACTGTCGTACGACCGTCGAAGACATGCCGCGTTCTGGACGACCTTCGACCTCTACCACCGACGAAAACATTGAAAAGGCAAAGGAAATCGTGTTCAAAAATCCTCATGTGAGTGTTAGAGAGATAGCACGAGAGCTAGGCATCGGTCGTGAGATGGCTCGTTTGATTTTGGTGGACAATTTGTGTATGCGACGTGTCAACGCCCGGCTTGTTCCGATTCACCTCAATTTGTTCAACATTATCAACGATTTTAAGGCCAAACATTCAATAAATACCATCGAACAGCCACCGTATTCACCTGATCTTGCACCGTGTGACTTTTTCCTGTTTCCCAACCTCAAATTACCACTCAGAGGAACGCGTTTTGAATCCATAGAAGACGTAAAACAGAATTCGCAGAGGGAACTCAAAGCCATACCGGAAATCGCCTATAAAAAATTTTTTGATGATTGGAAGAAACGTTGGCATTTGTGTATCGCTTCTAATGGAGCATATTTTGAAGGAGATAAAATAAATATTGATGAAGATTAAGAATTTTGCGTTTTATTTAAAATTTCCGGAAACTTTTCGGTCACAATGTACATACAAACATATATGTATACATTTTTAATAGGGCAAAACAACAAAACAGCAAAATATATAAGCTTTACATTGCTCTTCCAGAGCATAACTTATTCATTCGCAAAGGACGAATATTTTGCATAAATATTGTAAATATTTTTATACGCTAAATTTTAAAGAATCTTGTGTTATCATTAATTAGATACTTTTTGTAAACTTAAATTGGTGAGTGCTCGAGTCACTATTTATATTTTGAGCCAAATAATGAAAAAATTATAACTTATCGGTGAAAATTGTTTTATTGTTTCTGGAAGTATTCTTCTTTATGATTAATATACTTTTGTATGCGTTCTAACCATTTGTCAAAGCATTTTTCCAATCTTCTTCAGATATCTCAAAAACATGATTTTTAAATGTAATGACGGCTTCCGCCAACAAAAATCGTTGTTCATGCAATTTATTCTTGATGTTCGGGAACAAGAAAAAGGTATTGGGTACCAAATCAGGACTGTACGATGGATGACCCATTAATTCAAATTTTTGAATGATAAAATAGTCGGTTATTAGACGATATATGTGAGCACTCGCATTGTCTTGATGGAGAATGATCGGAAGGCGCTTGATTTCCGTATTTCACTGAAGACTTCCGGTAAACAAATGGTTCTGCACCATTCAGAATTAACCATTTTAAATTCCTGTAATGGTACGAATATAGTTGCCACATGACCAGTGGCTTGTTCCCGACCAGTGGCGACCATTTGTTTCAAAGTACTTCGAGCGCGAACTACTCTTGTTGGATTTGGTTCATTTTGAAACATCCATACAGTTAACTTCTGTTTACGATCCGGCTCAAATGCATATATCCATGATTCGTCATCTGTTACAATCTTATACACGTACAGGTCTTTTGAAACACCGCCATTGTACTTCTCGAACATTTGTGGGCACCGATCAACACGAGAGTCTTTGAAGATTTTGTCAAATGATGGGGGTGCCAACGAGAAGAAACCATTCTCACGACTTAGTGATCGTGCAATATTTTATATATGCAATCTTACGCATGACGATCTTGCATAACTCGTATCAGTTTTTGCACAGCATCAATATTTTCTGGCACCATAGCTGATTTTGGAGGACCTTCACTGACTAACTAATTTCGTCAATGGACGAACTACGGTCACGACTAAAATTATTGTACTAGTGTTTCACAATGGCAAAGGATAGAACTTCATCACTCTTGTCTTGATAATCCAAGTCGAAAGTCGTGATAAATCATCGCACGAAAATTTTTTCGCATTAATTCCATTTTTTCCAAAACACTCAATTTAGAAATCACTGTAAGTAACAAAAATAAAGCTCTTTTGACAAAAAACCTAAGGTAGATCATGTTTAAGAATGTCAAAGTTACTCATGAAAACGTCAGATGACACCTGACAACAAACAGTGTTGCCAAGGCTCAAAATATAAATAGTGACTCTCGTAAAAAAAAAAGAACAAAACAATTCAAATCTCACTAATGTAACCGCAAGGCTAGCTTCTATTGAGAAACTACCGGATTTTGGTTAACCAAGCGATCTATTTGACAATTTCTAAGGAAAACGGTTTTGTACAAATTAAACGTAGGAAGGGAATAAAGTTAACTAAAAATTTCAAATAAATTCTAAATTAATATACATTATTTTGATTTGTTCAAAATCAAAAATGTGTCGACTTATATATATACTATATAAATCTTTTTTACTACGTAGTAATCCTTTAAAGCAAATTTACTTTTTACATGTGACGTTAATAACATGCGAAATTATTTAGATTTTTCCACCAGTGATTGAAAATTTATTTAATTCGCACTGCATTTTAAAAATTTATTTTAGCGAAATATTTTGCAATCCATTCCAAAATAAATTGTCTATATTCTTAATAAATTCAACAGAAATCTTAAAGCAAATTAAATCAAAAAAAAAAAATTTTGAATATTTTGACGCGCGGAATGGATTTGTATATTAATTGATTTTATTAAAGAAAATATTTTTGCTTGAAGGTAACATATGGTTCACGACCCATTTGCAAATGTACAAAAAATTGCTGCAAAAAGCTAACTTTAGACGCAAAATAAATAAAATTCAGAAACGTCAAAAATCAATTGAACCACAAACTACAAACTGAACGCATTTCCATTTATTTGACTCAATAATTTCGAAGATAATTCGAAAACGAAAATGGCAACTTGCTAAAGCATTAGATCCCAAGCTACCAACAAAAACATTCTACTTAAAATGCGATGAATTCGGTTTCGTACACAAACTGAGTTTTGCATTTTTATCTTTTTCTCTTGTATATTTAAATTTAAAAATAACAAAAAATTGTGTTGGAAATTGGATTCTCAAAAATTGTGAGATGCTGAAGTATAAAAAAATATTTCGATGACATTTTAGCGTGCAATGGATTGCGGAGAACCGTTCTATTAAGCTAAATTGTCTACATCTTTTGAACTCATTGCGCTAAAAATATATTTTTAATCATAATTTCGTTTTTAAGATAAATGGGAAATGGTGTCAACACATGATAATTACATAATTCTTCCTTGTCAACGTTTTCTATTTTATTATGATTTATTTCTAATAAAAAGTTTGAAAAAAATTGGTAAAACTGAAAAAAAAAATACTTCATTATAATAATATTGTAATTTTAATTGCAATAATGAAGTTATATACAAATAAAATCATTCTCAAAACCACTGATTTAACGGATGTCTATTTTGATATGATGATGATAAGAATATATACTAAATGGAACGACCCGCAATTGCAAACGCGGATTAAGACATCAACCCTATTACTCATATAAAGTGTAAACCAGGTTGGGAATACAAAATTTATCAAATTTGTCAAACTTTAGCCATGCACTAAAGTTACACTAAAACATTTTGATTTAGACTTTTAGATATAAAGTGAAACAACCCTAACCGATTTTAAATTATTAACTATATTAACTATCCTACTTATTATATGTTACATAGCAAACAACTAAAACTTTTTTAAACTTTCTTGGTTATTCATCAAGAAATACGCTGTTGGTATTAACAGTTCGGTCATACTTATTCTCTACTAATCTACAGATTAAATTTGAGATCAGTTTTTTTTGTATATTTTTTGAGTCAAATTAACACTATATAACCAATTGTCAGGTGGAGTAGTTTGGCTGGTTTGGTCACACCTCACGAAAACTATCAAGTGAAATTTGTTTTCATGCCCTTACGTATAATCCGCAAGGCAGTAGAAGAAGAGGAAGGCCTAAGATTACCTGTCGCAGATGAACACTAAACGAAATTAACAGCCAAACCACACACCTTGGCATATCATACATCAATATCGTTCAGCTCAGAGAAGTAGTAATATGAAAGTTTGAAAAAAATTGGTAAAACTGAAAAAAAAAATACTTCATTATAATAATATTGTAATTTTAATTGCAATAATGAAGTTATATACAAATAAAATGCATATAAACTTCATTCTCAAAACCACTGATTTAACGGATGTCTATTTTGATATGATGATGATAAGAATATATACTAAATGGAACGACCCGCAATTGCAAACGCGGATTAAGACATCAACCCTATTACTCATATAAAGTGTAAACCAGGTTGTAATTTGTAGATAGCCTATGCCCAGTATAAAGGCAGCTTGGAATCATGTGACGCCAAGCAAGGCTTAATAAATAAATATTAAGGAATTGCTTGTTGTCAAAAAGCTCTGAAATTTTTCATAAAAATATATTAGAATGAAAGAAAAATATCAAATATTTAGGCGTTATATTAGACCTTTAAGTTATGTTTAAACTATATGTGGACTACTATTGTGAAAAAATATCAAACTCTCTTATCAAAAGACAATCAATACTTGTCAGAATTGAGATTCTCCTAGTAATACTCTATGCTTCCCCACCATGGAATAATACTTCTAGTTCTAACATAAAACGACAACAGATTAAACAAAATAAGCTGCTTAAAATGTTTTAAAAACTAAAGAAAACTAGGATAAGAAATATATACTTTCGTGTATATGTGTACTATATTTCCATCCATCATAAAAAGAGCGGAAAACGTTCAAATACCAAAACCCTTAACTACTTTTTAAATGAACTAATAAATAATATTCAAACTTACCTCTTTTTCGAAATCATTAATTTCATCCAAATATTGTAAACCCAAACGTTTTTGCAAATTCTCTAAAACTCTGCTTAAAGTATTTACATTAGTTTCAAGTTTCGTTAAACGGTTAGTGTTCCATATCTGAAAAATATATAAAAGATAAAATTAAATTGTAGTTAATTATGCTTAATATACTAATTGAATAATAAAAAATTACTATTCTCTCAAATTATATTTTGAATATATACACGAATAAATTCGAAGGAGAGTTTCAGTCGTATGTTTTAGGCTTTTGTATTATCTTTAGATGTATTTAAGATATCCTTTGATTCTGAATGTTGCGAATTAAAGTCTACTGAATCTATGCTAAATTTATTTTTTTTTAATGCCACTGTATACAGTATAGTCTTAATTACATTAGCTTTCTACATACACATTTTTCAATATATATCGGCAAATTTCTTAAGGTTTTCAGGCATTAAAACAATTTCTAAGTAATCCGACCTTTTATACTGTTGAATTTGACCAGATTACTGCACTGTCTTAAGACTTGCAGATGCACTTTAGATTCATTTATGGTCTTTCAATTTTTGGATCAATGCCATCATATATGAGTTCATAAGTGAAGTTGAAGACATGAAGTCGTTCATTCCCTTAAATCTCTTCATTTGATGATTTTGATTCTAATTTTTTTTAAATTGTTGGTATTTTTCTCTTCTCTATATTTTTATGTATGCATATGTTGCTAAACCAATTTAACTGCCAGATGTTTACAATTTACCGAAATTCAATTTGGACTTCGACTTCTGCTTCGACTTGTGTTCACTACTAGAAAACATGTATTTTATGCTACAATTATTAGTCAATTAGAAATTTTTAATAAAGTAGAATTTTTCTAAAAAAAATATTAATATTTCCTGTTCTGTTAAAGCAATTGGCATTAAAATCGACCAATGTCTTTGATTTCAGATTATAACTAAATATTTTTGAGTCTAATAATACAGCAAATGTACAGCATTATTCTGAAAAGATAATGGCTATTGAAAGTGGATGCTTCAGAGTGTATTGCTACAACATTCAATTCGTTTCTAAGTGCCTTTGTTGATCTGGATTTTATAAAATGAGCTCCAGCAGAAATTTTACATCTATTAGAAAAAACAATAATTCTAAAGAGCTTTGTTTTATATCATAATTACTTAAAAGCTAAAACGCTCAGAAATTAAATATTTTGAAAGATGTGATCCACTTTAATGATACATTTATATTAAATAAATTTTTAATGATGAAGAATATTGCAGTGCTTGACAGTACTTTTGTTTCTTCTTCTTTTTTTTTAATAAGACCCTAATTAGATATTATTTATCTAGACAAGTGGTTCTAGGGAAAGATTCAAAATACTCAATTTTGTTGTATAATTATTTTATATTAATGTACAATTACACATTAGTATTTAAATACTTGTTACATTACATTAATGTATAATTAATTAATTACATGTTAATTTTAATTTAAAATTTGAAAAGCATTTCTGCTATGAAAGGATTTTTTGTGCTTTTTTGCACAAATTAATTTATAAACATATTTTACTAAATATGTTGAAAAGGCAAAATATATAAAGCCATCAGCACAGAAAACAACTGATAGATGTCACCTTTTAACATTTCATCTTTTATGATAAAAACCCTTTATATTGCATTACTAAACAAATTTTGCTCTTTAGGAAGATTGCTATAATTAAAGAATCTATAGCTGGCTAACATCAGCTAATTTAAACAATTTTAATAAATTTTACCTTTTTAGTAAACCAATACAAACGTGTTGATCTTATATTACAGTTATGCTTCGATTTCACTATGTCATTTCGAATGTCAAATATTGTCAGTATAATGAAATCGGGTAGTCATATGATGTCATATTCGCAATCTTGTCATGTAATGAAAACACATTTGACACAGCATTCAATTACAATTGTCATTTAAAATGACATAGTCAAAACAAGGCATTAGTATTAGAATTTATTTCAGATATTTTAATCAATGAGTTTATCAATATGCAAGCTTTTTAGAAACCCTCGATATTTAAACAGATCATTTTTTGGTCTTCAAACTTTTATTACAAACCTAGGATTTATAATAAATTGATTTCTCTGTATTCAAGATCATCTCACAAACCTAGTTACTTCGTTAAAACATTTTTTTTTATAAAGACTAGAACTAATAACTACAAACTCTTGTTTTTACAATGGTCGGATATTGATCCACAAAACAAAAAATGATTCTGTCAAATGTTGTTGAACACCACAAAGAAACTATAAGACTTTTCGTTGAATATAATCAGCGTACAGAATCTTTTGTGATTAGGATTACAAATCTATTGTTTAGATTTATTATCGAAATTAAACAGTGTTTATCCTGTTCAAATTTACTGCCATTACTTATATATATACGAATAAGTTCTTACATCAAATGACAAACAGATTTCTAAATAAAAGGAATAGTTTGACAAACACTTAACTTTATTAAAATCCTTTCTATAATTGATAGACGCCTATTAATTATAGACAAGCACATGACCTACAATATCCATTTCCATTATACAATGTGAAATAGTAAAAGTCGGAAAACTATTAAAAAAATATAATGGCCTATTAAATGCGAGTAGCTTAGTTAAAATTTTAAGACCACTCTTTAAAGTAACTAAAATCTCTTTTAACTACTTACTAAGAAAGAAACAAACATAGTTTCGTGCAAATCGATTGTAAGTTGCTCTGTTGAATAGCTAACGACTTATCATCGAACAATGTAGTTTATAATATAATAATCCATTGTATCTTATCTTCAAAGACTTCGAAAAAGATTTTGAATCCATATGAAATCATGCATATTTTAAGATGTATTGGAAATCATAAGTGTCCTCATGAAATATATTAACTTGATACATTTAAGAAGTGATATTAGCAAAAATATGATTTTATTTTTCTTTACTTTTTTTAAAATATGATTAATATACCAAGTGATATATATATGTATATATATACAAAAATGTTCTTTAAGTGAGAACAATTTTGTGAGATTACTCGTACCATGTGCTAAATTCATTTTTGTGTAAACAAATAGAGATCACATCTATGAAACAGAATGATAGGCCCACCATCCTGTTATCCTGAAGATCACCCTGATTAATTTAAATTATATCTGGGTAAATAAGCTCTAGCTATTTATTTTGAGGCTCCCTAAAATAATTTGCAAATCATTATATATTTCATTATAGTATAAATAATATAAAATATAAAATAATAAATAAAATATATATATATATATATATATAAATCTTTATCTAAAATAATTTGTAATGTAATGTTATTAGTCTTTAAGATTCTAATACTTATTATATTGTTAGACTTTAATTTAAAGCAATTCAGTAAAGACAAATTATTAAATAAAAAAATAAAGAAAACATCTAAGAAAGATTGGCTAACAATATTTTACATAAGCCACTCTTTTAAAAAAGTTTGGTTCGGAAATATTTAAGAAGGGTTTTTCATATTCCCCTTTTTCAATGACAATACTTTAATACTTTTATTCTATATAAAATTAAAGTATAAATATTTTAATTTTATTATTAATAATGATATTTTTGCGATTGAAATTTTTTTCCAAAATATTAATCATTACGAAGTATGTATGTATGTCTTTTGCTTTCCTACAAATCTACAGAACAATGAATAAGGAACTAAATATTCTACGTTCCCAACGAAATCAAAAGAAAGTTCTTTTCATTTATTAATTTATTTTTTGTTTTCGATTCCGTTGAAGCTTCCACTTTTATTAATGTATCGTTTGCTTGAAATTATTTCTGACAGATCTTGGTTGTGTGGATTAAAACTACACACATGACGTCATACTACACAAATGTACACAGCGTTCAAGCGAGCTTCCTCCACTATTCGAGAAAGCGGCACAATATGAAAAACGGAAATGCTGATATCGCATTTCATCTTTAATACAAATCCAGTGTTTAATAATTAATTTAGCAAAAACGATAACATACATATTATTTTATTATTAAATATAAAATGCAAATTTTTAGATTAATTGTCTATATATTATAGTTTGTTTATTAAGAATATAAAGAATCCATTTGGCATACTATTGTCGTGTTGGACTTATTTCAATTTCATAAAATCACGTGGGAAACATTTTCCTTAAGTATTCATTTTCCTTGAACCAAAATGCTGGCACTCGTAAGTTTAACGTCGTCTTAAAGGTTGTTTCCATTGGAAACTTCACAAAAAAAAAGAAGAAAATTGATTCAAGTAATTATTGACTAAAATGAACCTATTGGATATTGGCGTAAATAAACCCATCAGCAACTAATAATTATCAGCAGCTTAAATCCAGTAAATAAATGTGAAAGGCTTGACTAGCTTGTTCATTATCATACTTACATTTTTTTCTAGATTCCAACGTTTTCAGCTTAGCAATAGTTCTAGATTCCAACAACTTAGCAATAAGAGTCAGAAAAATATTGATATTACAATATTTATAAGGAAATGCAAAAATTAAACTGGAAAAGCTTGCGAATAGTAATCAATTTGGATTAAAATATTGACGACTATGAATTAGATACACTTCAGAGACTTACAGTACAAAATATGATTGATTTTATATAGACTTATAAAATTAGAGCTTCGTACCAAAACTAAATAGAGAATCAAAATATTTTAATGGGAGCGAAAATCGAAATCGAATCGAATATATCAATTAATTGCGGTACAACGCCGTTAATTTCTGTACCAACTAGAAATGCACACTCCTCTTAAATTCCTAAAACTTTATTAACTGTAAGTTAACACTTTAAAAAGTTTCTCTGACACGAATTCTGTTTCCTGATGATGATTAACATTATAAAGGAGCCCTGAAATTATTTACGAAAACTGACAGGTTTGCCAACACCGCGTTATCGAATCTCAAAGTGATTTCAAACTCCTTGGAGAGATATGCAGATCTGAGGTCAGTTATTGCTTAGTCTGATGCAGTGATAAACAATAATCCAGTCAAGGCGTAGAGAGAGGTTATGAAGAAACTTCGCAGTTAGTAGAGAGTAAAAGTGATCAAGTAATTATAAAGTTTTCCAAATTTATCTATTTTGGAACTCTGCGAAAAATTATCTTTTAGGCATAAGCGTTTACTCATTCGAAATTCATGCAATTGTGTGTTACTCATAAGTGTACACTTCCAATGGAGATCGTACGGTGGGTGACAACATCGGCAAGCAGATGTACACATTACACAAATAAGAACTACTTTTTTCATTATATAGGCATGGTGCAAATTTCGACGTGTGTACTAAATGAAATTATTGATATTTTATAATACCAAATCTGTTAAGATTAATTCATTCGACTTTACTTACTTAAGTAAGTTCAAAATTTAACATTAAAACATGAATAAATTAAAATTTTAATGAAAATATTTTGGTTGACATTTCTAAAAATCCTAAGGTTATCAGTTTAAAAATATGAAGACTATCAAAATGTGCCGTCTTTGAGTACTGCAATGCATTTTTATTAGAAAAAATTAAATATTTGATAATTTTTAATAAATACCATAATTAAAAATTTAAGAATATTTCAAACAAAGAACAAGTAACAAATAAGTTTATTATTAAAAACATTAAAATTCTAATAAATAATTTTCCAAATATATCATCTAAACAAATAATTCATAATTAATAATTATAATTATTTGTAATTCCACAGATTTTAATTATTATAATTTGATTAAGTCATGAGAAAGTTGGATCTACCCGACTGCATTTATGGCGATGGAGACTGTGACGACGCAGAGCACACTTTCTTTTATTGTAATAAGTGGTTCACAAGTAGAGAAGAGATAATAGCACAGATTGGACCTATAAATCCATCCTGAAAATATAGTGGGAAAGATGAGAGCGAACCTAGAGAGTTAATGAACGATAGATTCATATGTGATTTAAGTCCTCAAAACAAAGAAATTAGACCTAGAAAGAAGAACCAGAAACTAGAAAAATAAATCACAAGAGCGTGACTTGAAATGTTAACATACAAGAGACCCTCCACGAAATAAGGCGAAAGCGGTTCCGAGGGGGAATTATTCTCGCCGAAGTGGGGGTGTTTTAGTCCGTATACTATATATTAATGTTAGGGAGTCGGACACAAAAAAAAAAAGAAAAAAAATTACTAACGTAAAGTATTTTTATAATAAACATTCTATTAATTTTTTGTTTCATATTGCAGTTATTCTGCATAAGATTTTATCAATGATGACTTGATATTAATCAATCCCAAGACAAAAAGAAATACCACAATTTTTTAACACATTTTTATAAATATGAAAATGTTTATAAAATTTTTTACAGATACCATACTAAAGTGATATAAATAAAAATGTACTTACCAGTATTACTAGTAAAATCGCTGCAAATACCAAACTGATCCCGCCGACGACAATAGCAATTAAGTGGCTGCTGCGTTTATATCGCGCCGTACTGCTGGAAAGCGTCGTAGGAAAGGTATCGACGCTCTGTGGTGATATGAACGGTTTAAGTGTTTCGGCTGTCATAATTTAAATAATAAATTACACAAAACACAAAGAAATTATAATACTGCTGTTAATCCCCTATGAAAAATGCTGGGTGGTATGGTAAATATTTAAGAGGGAAGAAATCGTGGTACTACAAACTCAGTGGATAGTACTTTCACTTAATGGAACGGATGTTATTTCTTCAAAACGAAATTAATTTTCCTTTTTTTAAAGAATTCTTTTTCTTAAACTCAATATTTTAAGTTATTTTTTAAACGTGTTCATACATCAGAAAATATCATTCTTCACTCTTTTTATTTTTTCTTTTTACGTTCTAGGGCTCTGCTTTAATATTGAAAAAGCGTTTCTTAAAACTTGTTTTTCCTTTAGTGCATACTACTGCTATACATTATATGAAGCCATATACATATACAATTCGAGAAGATTCAGAATTGTAGTGTAATTTGTTTGCCGAATTTTCACTTTTTAATATAATTATTTAAGGTTTTTGAATTTGAAATTCTTGTCAAAAAATTTACTTGATTAATTCCATTCGCTTCGATGCGATGCGATACACAGTTCGATCTTAACACTCAAACCAACCCAACCGCGGTTATGCCTCGCGTACAACTAAATAAATTTCCGTCGCGGAACAAACGAGACCATACAATTTTCTCTCCGACCAATTATCAATTTATATATGCGCAAACTGCAAAGTCTAAACATTGTTTATGGTTCTCAACAGGCTGCAGCGAATGAACAAGTACGAGTATCTCTTGGGATTGCTGTGCAAATTTTCGTCTATCTGTACAAATACAATGGCACACTTGTTTGTTTACGCTCCTCCTTGGCATTGATCGTGTTTTTCAATGTTACTTATGGTATGTTGACTGTGTCTCTTAAAAACCATTCAAACAATGTTCTAACCGTTTGTTTATAGTTTCTTATTTTTCTTTTTCTTTTTTCTTTTTACTTTTTTCTTTTTTCTTTGTAATAGATATCGGGTAGTTTGGTTAATATTTCTCAAAAACAGATTGTTTTACAGTCTCGGCGATTCATTACTTTGGCACCAAAATTCTCACTACCAACGATAGAAGACTAATTAGTTGCTATTAGGGTGGTTCCCGTCATAATTACAATACAATGTACGACATTATACGGGTACTTTAAGAATTAGAAAGTTAAGTATTTTTGATTTCATTAAATATTAAAATGCTTTACGTAGTATCTACTGATGTTAATGATTAGATTTTTATTGAATATTCCAGATGAAACAGTATTATTTAGAGTTCAACTTGGTTTTGGTTTTATATTATTTTTGATTTCATTAAATATTAAAATGCTTTACGTAGTGTCTACTGATGTTAATGATTAGATTTTTATTGAATATTCCAGATGAAACAGTATTATTTAGAGTTCAACTTGGTTTTATATTTCATATATAATATTAATATTTATAAATATATATACATATACTCAAATTAAAAAGTGGTTTTTAAATGTGATCTGTGACACTAATTCCTTTCCTCATATTTACCTAAATTTCGAGGCTAAATTATACTTTATCACTGTGTCCATCATCATTCACCAGCTGTCTTTGATTACAAATGAGCTCGTTATTAAATCAAGTCATAATTCTTGCTACTACACAGACTTTATAATTATGTGTAGTTTAATCTTACTATATTGAACAACAGTGAAATCACACTCAGTGAATAAAACTATATCTATATCTAATATACATATATCTAGTAACATGGTATCGATATATAGCTTCTCATGTAAGTGCAACGATTTTTGTCTTTATACGCATTTCTACTCAAATTATTTCAAAAATTTTAATACTTTTTCTTTATTATATATGTATGTATGTATTTAATGCAATTTAATTGTGTTGTATTAATCAATTAAATACAAAATAGTAAGAATAACATAATACATAGGGTAAAAAACCTCCCTTAGTAATGAACTCTTAATAATTGTTTTAACTCTCATAATCAAATGATATATTGCATATAAATTTGTATACTGTTTGAATGTGAAGTAACATTTAAGATCACAATTATACAGATATATTGTACATATAATAAAATAATTTCTTTATTGTATTAAAGTTTGGTTTTTTTTAAAAAGTTGTAGTTAGCTTATGTATTATATTCGAAAATGATTCTTGTAGTAAATTAAAATTTTAAGGAATCACGAATATATTTTTTTTTTCAGTAAACATTTTTTAATTAACTTTGAGGTTCCTTCATAACCTCTTTCTACACCTTTTGTATATTATTGTATATTAGACTAAGCAATATTTGACCTCAGATCTGCACACATACCCGAGGAGCCTGTAACCTTTCTGAGATTCGATAATACTGTGTTGGTAAACCTGTCAGTTTTCTTAAATAGTTTCAGGGATCTTTCCTTTATGTATTTTTTGATCGGATCAATCTTGAGGTCCCTGAGGATGTCATTCATTCTAATGTACCATGGTACCTTGAAAAGTCTTCTCAGAGCCTCGCTTTGTGCAATTTCTAGCTGTCGAATAGTAGTGTTTGAGACCTTGTTGAACGTTACACACCCATATAAAAGTGACGGTCGAATTATTTGGTTATATAACAGCTTCCTGTTCTTAGCATTGAGATTTTCATTTTTGAATAGCGGTTGGAGGTGATGGAGAATTTTGGCACAGCTAATTCTTTTCAGTTAAACATATTTAAGACATGTGAAACGTTTGTCCACCGTGATGCCTAGATATTTAATGGTATCCTCCTAGTTTATTACCATATCTGCCACTCTCACTTTTGACGGGTTCTGTCTCCTCTTACACGTAATGAACAGAGTCTTAGTTTTTTATTTATGGATTTTTATTTTCCATTTTTGGAAATACTCCAGGATGACGTTTATATGCTCTTGAAGTATTTTGGTTATGTTGAAAGCACATTTATCTGAGTAAAGCATACCCGTATCGTCAGCGTAAAACGCCAGTGTCGAGGGACCACTCTCACTTTTAACGGGTTCTGTCTCCTCTTAAGCATAATGAACAGGGTCTTAGTTTTTTAGTTGTGGATTTTTATTTTGCATTTTTGGAAATACTCCAGGATGACGTAATATACTCTTGAAGGATGTTGGTTATGTTGAAAGCACATTTATCCGAGTAAAGCTTACACGTATCGTTAGCGTAAAACGCCAGTATCGAGGGACCTAACATTGGGATACAGGACGTATAAATATTGTAAAAAGTGGAGAAAAGTGGCGATTCTTGAGGAACCCCTGCTTCTATAGGTCGAACTGATAAAAGAGCGCTGTTGATTTTCGTGCGAAATGATCTTCAACGTAGGAACCTACCTCTGATCTTAGTTAGCCTGCCTGGAACACCTAGATGAGACATTTTTATTATCAGACCATCATGCCAGACCTTGTCAACAGCTTTAGCAATGTCGAAAATGATCAATCCAGTGGTGAAAAAATGCATAATCATGGTGGCCAATTTACTTTAACCAAATGGAAATTACATTTCAAGACCCATCTCATGCAACAAAACCAAAACAGTACATGTTCTGTGGCTTGTGTCGTCGTCCTATAGAGATAAGACTAAATACGGTACCATACAATGACTACTTGTGGATGTTATGGTTTTTATAAAATTACTTATGAATGTTTTTGTCCCTAATTAAGATAATTTTATTTGTTGACATATTCATCACGTTAAAAATGAGTATTCATTTTTATGCCAACTTTTAAGAATTTCTGCACATTCAATGGTTGTTAAACGATCTATATCGTAAATAGGAAAATCTGAAACTTTTTTGTTAATCGTTGATCACTGAAACAATACTGCCAAAAGAGAAATACGAAATGTATAACCTTTTATTATAATACAATACAATATTTTGACAAGATACATGTTAATATATATTTCACCGGTATGTGTATACAATATATATATTAGGGTGCCTTTAAAGTATATGGGCAATATTTTTTTTTTCGAAAAATCAGTTAACGGCACCCCCAAATCGGTTCATTTTACTAAAAAAATAATCTCTGTAAAATTTTAGTTCAATTAGATAAGTGAAAATGGCGCCCAAAATTCCCAAAAATTGGAAAATAACCATTTTTGCCATGAAATTCATATTTGATTGCTTATATCTCTGACAGATTTAATTTTACATAAAAACTGTCTTCCTAAAAGTTATAGATCTATTAAAAATAAACAATTCACTCATACGAAGTTTTTCTGTATTTCTAATAATAATCATAATTATTGAATAAAAGAAAATATAAGCTAAAATCGCCCGATTGAATTTAGTAAGTTCTATAGATGCATTTGTCCGCATGACTGTTTGTTGTTTACTAAATTTGCTCCAAAAAAGGTCTAACGTTTGAATAGTTATATACATAAATGTGTTTCTGTGAATACCAAGTGAATTGTATAATATGTTATCGTCTTTCTATTTAAACTCTGAACTAAAACTCATCGCTGTAAAATAATTCAAAGTGATTACATTAAAAAGTCTAACCAAGATCTTGTTGGTATCATTCTAGTGGGTTGACTGATAGTAAATTACAATCAAATAGGGGAGTATTAAAATTTTTTTTTTAACATGCACGTGGTTAAGTTACCGATAAGAGAAAGTGATAGATCATATTTTGCAAAAGACAAGAATACCAATAAAAGAACAAAAACATTGCATAAATAAATTAGAAAACCTACATCAAGACTGGAGAGGTTTGCAAAAACATGCTAATAGAAAAAATAGATCAAATAGATCAGCAAGAAGAAGCAGAATTCACAAAACGATTAGAGACATTATTTAAATTGGCACACGCAAATGCACTTGAGAGATGATAACAATAAGATATTATACATACATATATAAAATATATTGTTACTCTTAATTTGTCTTTGTGTGCGAGCCATAGATAACAACCAACCTACCTTAAGGTTACTTCTCGAACTACATCGCCGATATATTGATAAATACATATTTTTAAATTATGATAAATTATGATTAAAATTTTATGATAAATAAAATGAATTAAAATTAATATTGATAAATATATACATAAGAACCTAAACAAGTGGATTGAATTAATTATTTTAATTTAATTTTTTAAATAATTTTTAATTTAAATTAAAAGTTCTATAACTAAAATTTTAGTAGCTCTTAATCTTTAACTTACTTTAACTATTTTTGAAATATGGTTGTGGCGCCTGTCGCATATCCTAATTTTTTTCTATTTTCTGCATTTTATTTTCAGTTAAGGTCCAGTCTGACATTAATGAAACACACCGACTCTGCATTTAGAAGTAATTAGGTGCACCGACGAAAATCCAGCGACAGGTAAAAATATAATTGCTTAATGCCTTACCATTTTATTGCAATTTTCATTGGTAAACGTCTTGATCGACTTTCGCGGTGTTTGCATACAATGTATTTATTTGAATAAAATGTATTTCATATGATATTCCATATTAACAAATCTAATTAATGGAAAGAAATAAAAAAATATCTGATTACGAGTATTATTTTAAAGCATAATACAGTTCAGCAAAACAATTTTGCAACAATCGACAGAGAATTTAATTATTTCAGTATGAATTTCTCTTATACAAGAAAATATATCTATTATATGATGTAAATTTTGCTATATTTTATATATCTACATATTTATAATAATCAAATAAAAACAACCTTCTTTATCAAAAATTGTATATAAACTACAATTATATAAAATACAATTTGTTGGAACATTTCAAAAAAATGAATTATTTCACTTGGGTATAGTCGTAATAAGTTTACAATTATTAATGGCTCACTTAAAAGCAATTTCTGTATATGTATTATAATATATATATTTGAGTATACATATTTAAATTTATCTATGTTCCTAAAGTGCTTCTTTGTTAAGGTTCAATAAAAACATAGGAAGCGATAAAAACACTTTTCAACTTCCGCTCTTTGAGTTCTTTGTAATATAAACAGTCACATAAATTACCTATTGAGATACAATAACTAACTTTATCTCTTTAATATATATTTTCGAAAGTACATTAAATATGATATATATTATTTTTAAAATCAATGTATTTTTGATACCAAAACAAGGACATCGAAATAAATATTTACAAATTTCGTAACCTTTTTGATCGGTCGGTCTGATTTAAGATCGAACGACTTATTTGTGTGTAGGTACAGGTTAAATTTAGTCACAGTACTATTAATCTCATAAAGCTTATTTTTTATATAATAGAAAATACTAGTTCTTCCTAAGAAACATTGCATTGTTGGCACCTTAAGCCACCTTAAGGAAATAGAATAAAACATCCTACGATATCACGAGAACGATATCATCATTGTAATCTGGAAATATTTTTAAATGTGATGGTAATGCGTAAAAGCTGTTTCATAGCTACAGAAACAGAATGGAATACAATCTAGAAAGCTAACGCTTTAGCAACAAATTAAAAGAAAAAAAGAGGAAGGAACAGAAGGAAGAAAAAATTTTTGACAAAAAATTAAACGAAAACATAAAAGTTCTACGAAAAAACTCGTCATTTAAAAAAAAAAATTACGAACGAAAAGGTGCTAAGCCAAGATTAAATACCTGTGAATACAAAGGCAATAATTTCTAACTTGCAAGGAAGCAATAACAAACCGGATGGAGTTATCGAAATCAAAATGACCTATGATGCAATTCTATAAATATCCCACAATAAAAAACAAAACTGAACGAAATTACTGATAACTGCAACTTTACTAGGTGGATTGATAAAATACCCGGTCTAAGTACTAAAAACGCATTTTATCCTTCATTATCAATATTCACCTAGCATACAATATCCATCTGATCAAGGAGTTCTTAATGTGATTGGAAACCAGAGAAATATAAAGCATTCTAGTTGAGATTTTTTAAAATGCTTTCATCACTTTCAAGAGCTTTTATGGGAGTTAGTACTATAAATAATTTCTACTTGATAAGTGAAGCCTATACAACCTTTCGTGTTTTTGGATGATAGCCTCCGGTTGCAAAATGCAACTCTATGTTGAAAGGAACCGAACTGTATTGGTCAGGACAGCAGATTTCACCTACGGTAGGATTTCGCATGTAAAATTAATTACCTATTAGTAGTATCCCGTACTGTATAGAATAGTACCACTTACGACAAGCTTCCCCTACTTTGAAAATATTGTAATTCCTTTCCCGTAGGGGGAAACCATATAACAGTAGGAACAATTACTCGAGCAGTGGTGCACCGGACTTATATGGAATTATATGTAGTGGGACAACACATAAGTGGATTTACTTCTGGCTTATCAACGAAGGATTTGTTATTCTATAGAGTTTTAAACAAATGAGAAAATACAATACTATAGTCTATAGTATATTTTTAAACTTTAAAGGTGTCTATAATCCCATATAAAGGGGATATGAAGGAGAAAGCTTGAAAAACTTAGGCTACTATGAATACAATAACGTGCAGGAGAAAAATCTAAAGCGATCTGCCATCCGAAATCATTTTACATAAATGTGTTATACATACCACAACATGATCATTTTTACTTCAATATAACACTTGAAAAGGTGATGAGATAAATAAATAAAATTAAGAGGAAAAAAATTGACTAAGTCATCTTTACTTGTCTTTACTTACATATACCGACAATATTATTATTATGACCCTTACGTCAAGAGAATTATAAGAAAGGCATACATTTTGCATGAACTAAACGTTGGAAAAATCTGAGTTCTAAGGATACGAAACGATGAAGTTTGTAAATATATGAGCTACAAATAAGATACGACATGTTCAAGATAATTAAATCTTTTACGCAATTATAATCAATCATAAACAACAACATGGATAAAAATGAAATAATTAATAAATAATCTTGTCCATTTAGCGTACGTTTTATGGCTTAAACAGTTTAAAAGTAAACTACTTTCCAGATAATCAAAGAATCTGCTATAAAAAACCTTTGTAAACGAGTTACTTCTTATACAGTCGAAAAATGAATATAATCCATAAAGCACTTATCTACACTACAATTCTTCGAAAAGCTGATTCTAACAAATATATTTGGTCCACTACGTAAATATAGTGAATGGAGTACCAATCATCATTGGGACTTGGAATTATTGCTTGTATGTAATTCGTAAATAGTTTTTTGACACTGCAAGTATCATTGGTTGACCTCAACCCTACCAAATTTGAAGCGTAGAATCAGCGTTCAACTGAACTAAAGCTAGTAAAATAGTTACTTCCATCATAACTAACGTTAAATTTTAATTTATATATAAATTCTTCTGCAATAATAATATACTAGCGGAAAATATTCGGTATGA